TTTAGTTTGATTGTCCTTGCTTTTAGCTTATCATGGCCGTAGTAATAAAGAAAAATGAGCACTTTACTCCAGTTTATTATTCCATTTATGAGCTCATTCAGTACATGGACTTTGGTGTCTGGTATGTCTAGTGATGTGCTTGGCTGGCTGTCCCAAAGATCCTGCTCTTCTCAGCTGGCTTTCTCATGGGGGGTGGGTTGGGGGGTGGTAAATATGAGTGTCCTTGGCCACCTTAGATGGGCTCACAGGGAGGGCTCCTGGAAAGGGATGCTTGAGCTGAGACCAGATGTGGAGGGAGACCAGCCAGTGTGATCTGGCATGGGACAGATCTCCCCTAGGCTCAGGTTTAAAGGTATGATCTTGTAAAGGTATGATCTTGTGCTAGGAGGTCCCTGAGGCTGGAGACTTGGCAGCCATGCAGGCAAGATGAGGACCTGGCTTTCATTCTGGAGACCAGGACACCTTGGTGATATGCCTTCCTTCCTGTGTTTGAGGGTTGGCCCTGGCTGTGCTGTGGAGGTGGGGAGGCTGTGGCAGGTGGTAGGGATCAGTGGGAAGTATCTCTGAGGTTTTCCTGGGAAGTCACAGGCAGAACAGAGGTTCTCTGTTTTCTTTTGTTCTTTATTACCACACTAAAATGTCTTCCTATTGCTCTAAAAAAGAAAATCACACGTTTGGGCCGAGGATGTGAGGTCAGCTGGTAGAGGGTATGCTTAGCAGGCATGAAGCCCTGGGTTCATCCCCAGCCTTGTATAAACTGGGTGTGGTGGTGCACACCAAGACCATCTTTGGCCAGATAGGGAGTTTAGGCTAAATTGGGCTACATGAAACCCTGTCTAAAAAAGAAAACAAAACAAAGTGGGTTGGAGAGATGATTCATACACACAAAATAAAAATAAATAAATAAATAATAAATAAATTAATAAATAAATAAAAAAGATGAAATTTTATGTAATAAAATCAGCCACTTTAGGACCAGCAAGATGGCTCAGCAGGTAAGGGTATCTGCCACAGAGCCTGATAGTCTAAATTCTCAGGTGTTACTTGGTTCGAAGCTGGAGAGGTGACAGGTGGCATTTAATGGTGGAAATAGGATTTTTCTCTCTCTGTGTGTCTCTGTCTCTCTATCTTATCTCTCTGTTTCTGTCTCTGTCTACCTCTCAGATGAAGGCCAGGGGAGCTCTGTGTGGTGGATCAGAGGGTTGCTAGGTAACCTTAGGCATGACCTTTTCCTGAGTCAGTGGAGCTTGGCCCTTCTGGATGCCCACCCAGCTGGACTGGTCCTTTCTTATCTGGGTCTTGCCATATTCAATCTTATATCTGTATATTAATATATATATTTATTATTATTTTAAAATTTTATGTGTAGAAGTGTATTGCCTGCATGTGTATGTAAGTGCACCCCTTTCGTGCAGTGCCCGTGGAGATCAGAAGAAAGTGTCAAACTCCCTTGAACTGGAGTTATGTATGGTTGTCAGATGCCATGTGGGTGCTGGGAACCAAACCTGGGTCCTTTGCAAGAGTCCACTGAGCCATGTCTCCAGCCCCCTATGTCTATATACTTTTTTTTTGTAATTTAAACGCTTTTTCTCAAACTGTGTTGTGGTGGTTCCTATCTTTTTTTTAATTGTCTTTTTTGAGACAGGGTCTCCCTATAGCCCCAGCTGTCCTAGGTAGACCATGCTGGCCTCAAACTCACAGAGCCCACCTCTGCCTCCCAAGTGCTGGGATTAAAGGCATGTGTCACCACGCCCGGCCACGCCTTTAATCTTAACCCTTGGGAGACTGACCAGAAGGACTGCCATGAATTCAACGGCAGCTTGGGCTATATAGTAAATCTCAGACCAGCCTGGGAAGCAGAGTGAGATTCTGTTTAAACAAAGAAACAATCTCCTCCCCACCCCTTTAATAGAGACAATGTATTAGGAAAGGAAAAGTGCTCCTAAGAATGAGGTTGGACTAGGGGCTGGGGACAATCATCTGCTCAAAAACCCAAAACATTACCAAAAAACCCAAAACAAAACACCTCAATATTCCAGTACTGTGTTCCAGCTAAAATCCCCTGGAGGACCATAAGTAGATTGATGCCCTCGGGGCCATCTTTGGCTTTTCAGCTTGCTTGATCATTTTACACTTTTGTTTATTTTTCTTGCATGTATGGGTGTGCCCGTTATAGTGTGGTGCTCAGGGGACAGCCTGTGAGGGTCTCCTCTCTCCTTCCACCACGTGGGTCCCTGGGATGAATGTTAGGCTTGGTGGGCAAGTACCTTTACCTTCTGAGCCATCTCACCAGCCCACTTTTTTGGTTGTTTTTGAGACAGGGTTTCCCTGTAGCTCTAGCTTTCCTGAAACTCGATATGGAGACCAGGCTAGCCTCAAACTCACAGACATCTGCCTGCCTCTGCCTCCCAAGTGCTGGGGCTAAAGGCGTGCACCATTATGCCTGGCAGCAGGCCACTTTTTTTTTACCTTTTAAACTTCACTTTAAACAGGGAAATATGACTCACTTGATCAGGTGCCATGTGCAGGTTACCCTTCAGGTTACGGTGTCCTAATCACATTTTAGCAGTCCCAAGCAGCGTTCTTGAGGGTGCAGTATAGCCTGTTAGACTTGCTTCCTTGCTTACAAGCACATAATTACAAAATCTCTGGGCTTTAATTCTCAGAATCTTTTTAAATGTCACAATACAAGTGAACGAATTATTTAAAACTTCCTTGTAAAGATTTTATTCCTGGTATTTCTTTTAATATTTGGAACTATAAAAATAGCACAGTCAATAAAGTGCTTATTTCTCAGATCCCACACAAGCATGGTGGTGCTTGCTTGTAATCCTAGTGCTGGGGAGAAGGATTCAGGTCAGAGGAGGGAGGTTGGCCAGTTTAGCCTGTTTGGTGAGTTCCAGGCCAGTGAGACACTCTTTAAGGGTGAGCTAGCTGGGAAGTGGTGGTACATGACTTTAATCCCAGCAGAGGCAGAGGCAGGTGGCTCTCTTTGAGTTCAAGGCCAGCTTAGTCCACACAGTGAGTTCCAGACTAGCTGGGGCTACAGGGAGACCCTGTCTCAAAAAGAACAAAACAAAACGAACAGACAAAAAAGCCAACAAAAAAACCCTTCCTTTTCAAATAATTTCTAATGTTTATCAAGTTAAGTGACAGTATGTATTAGCTAATCTAATCTTCATTCCCTCCCCATTCCCAGAGGAGGAAAAGGATTCTCACTGCCGCCCCCCAATTTAGAGGCTTCTCAGGTTCAGCAATGACATTTGGGACCTGTTGATAATTCTTTTGTGGGGTTTTCCTGTGCATTATAGGATATTTGCTGTGTCTGGGTTCTGTACCGCTAGATGCCAATAGCAACTTGTGTCCTTTGATCATGGCCACTAGAATTCCCTGCATGCATTGCACAACATGTGATGGTGAGAATTGTGCAAGGTATGGAGGCAGAATCCCTTCTGACTGAGGACCACTGGCTGGAATGGAGAGAAACCACAGCATTTTTATGTTAGTAAGGAAGGCTGGCGTGGTGGCGCACACCTCTGTAAGATTGAGGCTATCCTGGTCTACGTAGTGAGTTCCAGGCCAGCTGGGGCTATAGGAAGACCCTGTCTCAAAAAACAGAACAAAACAAAGCAATAATTACAATAAATTTAGTAAGGAAACAGGAAATAATCACACTGAGAACAAATGATAACACCATACTGGATGCCTGACACAGGAACATTTGAACCCCAAGTGCCCACTTCTGTTTGAGTCCAGGTCTCTACATCTAGAGTCTTTCCCATGTTACTGTGTTAAAAAAACATTGTGGGTCCTGACACATCGGCCAAGATGAGTAAGTTTATTGGGTGGCCAGACTAGTGTGCCTGTATAACCAACCACCTTGGCAGGTGAGGAAACTGAGGCGCGCACATCTGCCTAAGTTGTAGGAACTTTCTTTTTTCTCCGTGAGCCAGGTTCTCAGTGAGCAGGACTGGCTGGCCTAGAACTCCCTGTATAGCTGAGGATGGTCTTGAACTCCTAAACCTCCTGCCTCTGCCTCCCAAGTGCTAGGATTACAGACATGAGGCGTTGAGCCTACATTTTTATAGTCTCCGGAGGTGTCTCAGTTCCTATCCCTTTGCCATCTATGACTTTCTGTCAGGATTGAATCACCTCAGCACCTTCTCACCGCAGGCCAGTTGACCATTTTGCTGCCAGTGAGGCTTCATTTGCAACTGGTATGAATAGGGCCAGGAAGCATGCAGAGTCTTCCCAAGAATGTATAAGGGTAAGAACCCTGGGCCAGGGCCTGATGGGTCCTTGGGAGGCTCTTGGCCCTTAAATACTTTGGTCTTCATCCACTTCAAGGGTGTGGGGTGAGTCATTTTAAAGTAAATTTAAAAGCCTCAGGCATATTAAAGCAGAAAAAGAAGAGCCTCAGACATGCTCTTTCCTGTAGAAGTTTGAACCCAAAACCAAGGAAGATCATTTACTATCTCTCTCTCTCCTTCTATCCGGTGCTCAGCTTGCCTGCATGCTTCCTGAGAATCTGTGAGCCAGGGGCTGGACCTCCCCAGGGGTGGGTCACCAGCAGGTGCAGGGTGTCTGAGGGGCCCTGCAAGCACTGTCTTGGGTTTGGCAAGCCTGGCTCCCGACCTCTGCAGCTGGAGTTTGAGGGGTTTGCTTCTGTCATTGTTTATTTTGAGATTTACACCCGTGAATGGGCCAAAGCAATTTTAGTGGCAGCTTAGCCGATTTGTCTTAGAGCTTTGTGTTGACTAGAATGCCCTGCAGGGCCGCCTTCCCTATGGCCTTCCCTGTTTAACTTTGGGTGATAGTCCTCTGCTGGCCGTCCATCACCATCCCTCCTGTCCATTCTATTTAGGTTGCTGAGGTGTCTTCAGGTAAATGAAATACATCTCCTGCTTTCTGTCCTCCCCAGCCCCACACCTGTGAGCTTAACTAGTTTATTGATTTGTAAAGCCGGCTTCTGGCTTCTAACCTTGACTTCCTTTTTCCAGCTTCCCCAGCCTCCACAAAGACTGGACAAGCAGGAAGTCTGTCCGGCAGCCCGAAACCTTTCTCCCCCCAAGCGCCAGTGCCCATCATGACAAAAGCGGACAAGACCTCCACCACCTCCACCACCGGGAGCATCCTGAACCTGAACCTGGGTCAGTGGTGGTTTCAGAGTATGTTTGTGTGGCAGCGGTGACTTTCATGCATGTTGTGACATTCTGCTATGAATGGTTCTTGACCTTGAACTCCTCTCTGTGCAGAAAATGGAGAAGGTAGGTGGAAAGGAAGTGAGGGGTGAGCAAGAGGAAGGAGCAGGGTTTTCTCAGAGCCATCAGTGTGCGAAGGTGTTGCACTGGGAAGTACCTTGCTTGGGTTAATCTTTATAAGTACTTGGCCATGACCAAGTGTGCGTGAATACACATGACTGAAGGGCGTTTCATGAATGAGTATTTCTATCCCTGTGCAAGTACTCTGATACAGTTTCCTTAGTTTATTTATTTATTTATTTATTTATTTGTTTGTTTATTTATTTTTAAGTGCCGGTTTTTATCGCCTGAGCTACTGGGTTTTGTACTCACTGGGTTTCAGTTGCTTATTTTATTTTGCAGTCCTGGAGACCAGACTTAGTGGCTTATGGGTGCTAAGCAGGTGCTCTACTGATGACCTGCATCCCCCTAATCCCTTTGGGAACTCTTTTGTTTGTTTACATTTTTTGATTTATTTTTATGTGTGTGAATGTTTTGCCTGCATGTGTGTCAGTTTACCCATGCATGCAGTGCTTGTAGAGACCAGAAGAGGGCATCTGGTGCTGTGGAACTGGAATTACAGATGGTTGTTAGCCACCATGTAGGTGCTGGGAACTGAACCTGGGTCCTCTGCAAGAGCAGCCAATGCTCTTAACCACTGAGCCATGTCTCTGGAATGCTGTTTTTTTCTCTTTCTCTCTTTATTTCTCTTTCTTTCTTTCTTTCTTTCTTTCTTTCTTTCTTTCTTTCTTTCTTTCTTTCTTTCTTTCTTTCTTTCTTTCTCTTTCTTTCTAAGAAAAGGGCTGACTAGCCAGGCGTGGTGGTGCACACCTTTAATCCCAGCATTCCAGAGGCAGAGGCAGGCCTGCTCGGTCTACATAGTGAGTTCCAGGCTGGGACTACAAGTAGACCCTGTCTCAAAAAAGAAAAAAAAGAAAAGGGCTGACTGCATATCCCAGGCCTGGAACTCAAGATTTGACTGCTTTTATCTCTCAAGTGTTAGTAATATAAGTAATACGGTTAGTACCACCATGCCTGGCTGCAGTTTTGGTATGCTGTGTGTGTGTTTTGTGTGTGTATGTGTTAGTGACAGCATCTACCTATGTAGCTCTAGCTTGCCCTGAACTTGCTTTGTAGCCCAGGCTGGCCTGCATCTCAGGTGAGCAGGTGAAACCTGAGCTTCCTGGGGTCTAGGGTTGACATGAATAGACCTCATGTTTCAGGATCTCTCTGGGTGCTGTTCAGACTCTGTCAATTATTCTCATCTGGGACAGTGTCATCCTGACCGGACACATGGCAGGACCTGGTGATGGTTTAGGAACGTCCCTGTCTAGTGAGAGTACAGGCCAGGGATGCTGCAGAGTGTCCCATGAAGCACAGGTCAGTTGGCAGGTGTGCTGACAGATTAGTAGATCGGGCTACATTCTTGGGACTCCCTAAGGGGAGAGAGCTTGGGTTCCCTGAGGCCAGATCTCGTGAGGCATAGAGCTGGGGGTCTGATTTGCATAGGGGCTTGGCTGTAGCGGCAGGCCCAGGGCTTCTCAGAGGCCTTGGATGCTGCTGCCATCTAGCGGTTGAAGGTCAGAGGTGCAGCTAAATGTCCTGCAGCACTTAGGAAGATCTCCGCACTGACAATGACCCAGCCTCAGGGGCTGCTGAAGCTGTGAGGGGTGGGGGTGGGTTAGAATTCAAAAGGAGCCAGGGCCTTGGGCTACTGGAGCAGGAAGGGATCTTCAGGAGCCCAGAGAAGAGCCTGGCTAGAGGAAGCCACTCCTGAAGTAGGTGATAACCCTGGAGACCTCAGGGCGGAGTGGGGATTGGAAGCAGCCACCCCTGTGCACCATCACGCGTGAGTTCACAGATTCCTCCAGGCCCATGTCACCTGTAGTGCTGTGGCGCTGAGATCTGAGTAGGAGGTCTGAGGTTTACCCCTGAGCTGGTGTCTCTTCCATCTGTCACTTGTTATTTTTCTTTGAGACAGAGTCTTACGGTGCCTTGGCCTAAGCTGGCCTTGAACTCAGAGAGATCTGCCTGCCTTTGCCCTGGAGAGCTGGGATTAAAGGTGTGGCCACCATACCTGGCCCTGCAGCATGGCTGGAGTTGGGTCATTCTTGGTCTTTCTTGAGATTCTACCATTGAACCGTTGACTGTTTCTTCACTTGATCCAGAAGGGACCCATTTTCTGCCTTGAGGACAGACGTTGTTCTAAAAAAATGTGGTTTTCTCAGGGGGCCCCCCTCCCACCTCCACACTCTGAACAGAAGCACGGTGCGGAGGCGTTCCCACGGTGACATTTCCTCTCTGCCAGTCACGACTGGCAAGAATAGATCCTTCTGTAAAACGGGGTGGTGGGCATCCTTGTGATACCGTGGGTCTTTGAAATTTGACTGGATGCACTGTTGGAGACTTTTCCCGTCATGCATCTTGATGGGTGGGCCCAGTCGTGGGTAGCCGTGATTGACCCATCTTCCCCCACTCCTCCCCGGGACAGGACAGTGGGAGCCAGAATACTGGGTTGGAACCGCAGTTCAGTCCCCAAAAGAGGCTCTGCTGGGGACCCAAGGAAGTACTGTGAGTGGGTGGGAAGGTTAGAGGGCAGAGGAGCAGGCTGACTCGTTTTTTGTTTCTTTTTTAAAAATATTTTATTATTTTTATTTTATGTGTATGAGTGTATTGCCTGCATGTAGGTAAGTGTACCCATGTCGTGCAATGCCCTTAGAGGACAGAAGAGACTGTTGGATCTCCCGGAACTGGAGTTACAGACAGTAGTTAGCTGCCATGTGGGTGCTGCAATTCGAACCTGGGTCTTCTGCAAGAACAGTCAGTGTTCTTAACCGCTGAACCATCTCTTCAGCCCTTATTTGTTTCTTTTAAGTAGGGTCTCACTCTGTATCACTGACTAGCTCATTATGTAGATTAGGCTGGCGTGAAACACAGGGGTCTGCCTGCCTCTGCCTCTGCCCCGCCTTGCCCCCCCCCCCCAGATTAAAGGCGTGTCCTGCTGGAAAGCAGAGTGATTTTTGCAGCCATTCCCTTTTGCATTACTTGGGTCTGTCCACGTGGCACTAGACGTAGCACCAGACAAAAGTGAGCCAGAGTGCTAGAGAATGATGTCTAATAAAGTAGGGTTTTGTTTAAAACAGTACAGTGGTAAAAGCAAAGTTAGATAGATGGGAAACATACCAGAGATTGCCTGGGTTGGAGAAGAGGAGGGTGTGTCTCCAAATTTGGAGTCTTCCCTCTCTCCCTCCCTCAGTCCCTCCCGTCTCTCCCTCCCTTCCTGTGTATGTGTGATTGAAAGCATGCCATGGCACATGTGTGGAAGTCAGGGATCCAACTCAGGTTGTCAGGTTTGGTGGCAAGTATCTTTTAACTGCTGAGTCATCTTGCTAATCCATCTTCTCTCTTTTTAAAAAATACTTTATTTCTTATTCTTATTTTATGTGTATGAGTGTATTGCCTGCTTGTATGTAAGTGCACCTGTGACATGAAATGCCCTTGGAGGTCAGAAAAAGGCATCGGATTCCCCTGGAACTGGAACTGGAGTTAGGAATGATTGTTAGCTGCCATGTAGGTGCCAGGAATCCAACCCAGGTCCTCTGCAGGAGCCAACCACTGAGCCATCTCTCCAGCCCCCCTTCTCTTTGGTTTGGGTCAGGTTCTCATATAACTCAGCTTGATCTATGTACTCAAGGATGGCCTTGACCCACTCTGAGCCTCCTGCCTCTACTTCCCAAGTGCCAGGATTACAGGCCTGGACCATCATACTGAGTTTATGCAGAACTCGGAATCAAACCAAAGACCTTGTACATGCTAGACAAGCACTCTACCAGCTGTCCCATATCTCTAGTGCTGGGAGTAGATTCTATGTGTGGTGGGGTATATTGGTTAGTTTTTTTTTTCTTTTTGAGACAGTGTCTCCTTGTACCCTAGCTAGCCTGGAACTCACTATGTAGACCAGGCTGGCCTTGAACTTGCAGAGGTCTACCTGCCCCTGCCTCCTGAGTGCTGGGATTAAAGGCGTGAGCCACCACGTGCCCAGCCTCCTTAAATTGCCTTTTGATTGTGGTGTTTATCATAATAACAAAAAGCAAACTAGGACAGGTTGGTTCCACATGTATGCATGTGTTGAAACTCAACTGGATTTTCTGGACAAAGGGGTGTTCATGGATGGCATGCTTCTCTTCGAGCTTAGGCACCTGTGGTCCACTCCAGCCCTATAAAACTAGCTATCTTAACGAAGCAACCAACTCTAGCCTAGTGGATTCAGGGGTGGTTTGAGACAGGCCCAAGGTTGCTCTCCCAGTTCATTATGTAGCCAAGATTGGCCATAAAACCCTCGCTGTCTCGATTGTCCCGCTGTCTCCCAAGTGCTGAGATTTATGATTAGCATGCGTGACTGTGGTTGCTCTCTGCCAGAGTGAAGTTTACCCTGTAAATTAGGATTACTAAAAAGAAAAGTACAGTAGCTTTTAAGATAGGTAATAGTCTCATTTCACAGAAGTGGGACCTGAGGTCACACATGATCGTTCTGATAGTCTGGTCTTGACTCAAGCCTTTCCACTGTAAAACCTGAATGCTGTGTCCATTCGTTCAGTACTGCAGGACGGGGTCCTGTTAGGACTTTTTGTTCCTTGGCAGGCTGTTGTGCTTGGTGGATAAGTCGGCCCAGCTGTGGGGTTAGGATCATGGATAGTAACAACAGGAGGGGTGAGTGGATGCCATTTTTTTTTAGTGTGTATGTGTACTGCATGTAGGTGAGTGCACCCGAGCCGTGCAATGTCCGAGGAGGACAGAAGAGGCTGTTGGATCCCCTGGAACTGGAGTTACGGACAGTTGTTAGCTGTCATTTGGGTGCTGGGATTCGAACCTGGGTCTTCATTTCTCCAGCCCTGAATGCCTTGCTAAGG